TGTCTAATGAAGAAGAATGATATATAAGAACGGTCGCAGACAAAGAGCAAGAATGTCCTTTTATTCAATCACATTGATGATACAGGTAAAATACCCCAAGATTGGCTGGAGTCAATATTCATCCCACTACCAAAAAAGCCAAACCCACAACACTGCAATGAGTTCCGTCTGATAAGCCTTATGAGTCATGCAGTAAAAGTATTACTAAAAATCGTACATAATCGTATCTATAGAAAGTGCGAAACAATCACCGGAAACGATCAGTTTGGATTCAGAACCGGCATGGGAACGAGAGAAGCCCTGTTCAGTTTACTAGTCCTCACCCAAAAATGCTACGACCAACAGAAAGATATATTTATATGCTTTATAGACTTCGAAAAAGCATTTGATAGAGTAAGACACGACCTACTATTAGAACGTTTGCAAGAAGTCGGTTTATATGGAAAAGACATCAAATTCTTGTACTGGAACCAAAACGCCAGAGTTAGGATCGAAGGTTCCACATCCGCAGAAGTAGAAATTAGGACCTCTGCTGTTTAATCTGTACTCCGAGTTTCTATTTAAAGAAGCATTGGAGGATTCCAAGGATGGAGTCAATGTGAATGGCGTAAATATCAACAGTATCAGATACGCCGATGATACAGTGTTAATTGCGGATTCCGACTTAGGTCTACAACGACTCATCGATAAGACCAACTCGACCTGTGAGTAATTTGGTATGAAAATAAACAATAAAAAAACCAAAGTGATGTCAATACGAAAAAACCAAAACGTACCTCAACCTTGCACAATAAATGGGCACATTTTAGAACACGTCAATTCGTCAATAGATTTAAGTACCAGGGATGATGGATCGATAGCAGCCTAAATCCTGATCTAGAAATAAGATCGAGAATAGAACAGGCCAGAAAATCTTTCGAAAAAATAAAAAAACTGCTTTGTGATTCTCGAATAAAACTCGAAATTCGACTACGTTTATCAAAATGCTACGTCTGGTCGACTCTTCTATATGCAGTTGAAACGTGGACCCTACCAACCGTAAATAAATTGGAGGCCTTTGAAATGTGGATCTACCTGAGAATACTCGAAATTTCATGGACATCGCATACCTCAAACGAAAGAAGTGCTGCATAGAATAGGCAAGGAAAGACAACTTTTTAACACAGTAAAAGTTAGAAAAACATCATACCTAGGCCACATACTGAGAAATAATAAGTACCAATAAGACCCAACTTATAGAGAAAGGAAAAATCAAGGGAAAGAGAGACCTAGGAAGGAAAAGCCTATCGTGGCTCAGAAACATCCGACAATGGACAGAGCTAAATTTTGAACAGCTAATAAGAACAGCTGAAGATAGAGAAGAGTTTAAAATTGTAGTAGCCAACCTCCATTGGAGAGAGGGCACTTTAAGAAGAAGAAGATCGCAGAAAAGGCGCTCGAAGAAAAGTAAAAAAGATCTCAAGTTGTTGTGGGAAAAACCTAGAACAGTACACAAAAAATGGAAGAAAAGTCAAGAAGCCTTGGAACTTTAATGTCTGTTGAGTTGAACTATATATGAATATACAGAGGAACAAATAAAAGAAGGAGAAACCAAAAACAAGACATACAAAATACGTAAAAAAAATATATGAATAACGTGAAAATCAGAAACTAGAAAAATTAAAAAAATGTATAAATATTGCATATACACACCAATTAATGGGTATACTGAGCTGGCAGAGCTATATATATATATATATATATATATATATATATATATATATATATATATATATATATATATATATATATATATATATATATATATATAATAAATATATATATATATATATATATATATATATAATATATATATATATATATATATATATAATATATATATATATATATATATATATATATATAATATATATATATATATATAATATATATATATATATATAATATATATATATATATATATATATATATATATATATATATATATATATATAAGGTAGTCCAAAATTTTTTGACTAGTTTGGAAAAAATATATGTAAATACTTTTTTCTTTTTGGGTGTGGTAGTCAATAAAAAATAGAGCTTTGCTAAGGCGTACTATTTATTCTGAAATCCGAGCTTTCGGTGGTTATTTGCCACCTTTATCAAGGTCTACAATGAAAATTACTGTGTTATAACATTAGGCTGATGTAATATAAAAGTTATAAAAACTTACCAGAAAGTAAGATTCATAGCATATAAAACACAACGTTAAATAACATAATGTGATCTGAATTATTGAAGGCATTAGAAATTTAAAAACTTTAAAATACTTAAAAATTAAAGAACATGTTACAAAGTTTAAAAAGTAAAAAATAAGACGACATGTTTGACAAAAAACAGTCGTCTTCGCAGGTTTGAATTCAGTCACATCTCACGAACAGAAAGAGGTAGTAGGAGGAACTATTGTTGTTTAAATAGTTCGATGTAACTACAAAAAACAAACTTTCAAACTGATGTCTAACAAAATGCCGTTTGTGATTTTAGGTACTACCAACCATGTTAACAACTTAGAATTGAGAGGGAAATTTAAAAAAAGGTTTTATTATGTCAAAAAATAAAAAGAAAATAGTATTTAGTAAATAGATTTAGAAAAAACAAACAAACAAAACAAAATGAACATCTGAATAATAACTGAAGTTAATCATGATAATTATAGCAATTAATAATGGAATTTACGAAACATGAAGCACTCTGAGGTCCACATCCAATGGGGTCCACCATTTCACCAATTCTTTGTAATTATGTCTTAGACGATTTGATTAAAGATTGTTTGCAACAAATCAATTTTGAAATACCTTTTATAAAAAGATACGTGGATGACTTAATCTTGGCACTACCAGCAGACTCTATACAATTTACTTTAAATGTTTTCAACCAACAAAACCCACATTTGCAATTCACGTGCGAGGAAGAGCGGGAGGGATCTTTGCCCTTCCTTGACATGCGTTTGCATAGATGTGAGGATAATGTTGTGAAAACACAATGGTATAGAAAACCTATATGTAGCAATAGATTCATAAGCTACCATTCCCATCATCCTCCTAGAATGAAAACCAACCTAGTCCTAGCAATGAAAGAACGTGTCAAAAGGTTATCACATCCAGATCATCTCCAACATGATCTTAACCTCTTACCTTACCTCTTTTTGTTGAAAATTCATATCCTCTAAGACTGATTAATAAATTAATTTTTAATGTTCCATTTGTCAACAGAAATAACATTCTCACTAATTCTCAATCAGTGCCCTCAGCACAAAACAATTCTTCTCAAACAAGTGTGTATTTTTATGCCCTTCCGTATATTCCAAAACTAACCGTAGAACTTACTAAAATTTTCAAAGAATTTAAAAACATCAAAATAGCTAACAAGAACATCAAAACCATACGTCAGCTATATAGCAAAATAAAACAACCCCTAACTACTTTAGAGTCAAGAGATGTTGTTTATTGCATTCAATGTACTGAATGTCCATCCACGTACATTGGTGAAACTGGAAGAAATCTGTCTAGTCGTATCATTTCTCATAAGAGTGACTGTAGACTAAATAAACCCACTTGTGCTTTGGCAGAACACACTATCGATCTAGACCATAAGATAGATTTCAACAATGTTAAAATATTAGCCAGAGAGAAAAATAAATTTAAGAGAACATTCTTAGAAATGGTACATATCAGCAGGAGTGATAACAACAATCTGAATAAAAGATCTGAGATCCAGAATCTTAGCAAAATTTACAATTTTATTTTGACTTTTGACTAGGGTTTTCTGCATCTCAGAGTGCTTCATGTTTCGTAAATTCCATTATTAATTGCTATAATTATCATGATTAACTTCAGTTATTATTCAGATGTTCATTTTGTTTTGTTTGTTTGTTTTTTCTAAACCTATTTACTAAATACTATTTTCTTTTTATTTTTTGACATAATAAAACCTTTTTTTAAATTTCCCTCTCAATTCTAAGTTGGTAACATGGTTGGTAGTACCTAAAATCACAAACGGCATTTTGTTAGACATCAGTTTGAAAGTTTGTTTTTTGTAGTTACATCGAACTATTTAAAGAACAATAGTTCCTCCTACTACCTCTTTCTGTTCGTGAGATGTGACTGAATTCAAACCTGCGAAGACGACTGTTTTTTGTCAAACATGTCGTCTTATTTTTTACTTTTTAAACTTTGTAACATGTTCTTTAATTTTTAAGTATTTTAAAGTTTTTAAATTTCTAATGCCTTCAATAATTCAGATCACATTATGTTATTTAACGTTGTGTTTTATATGCTATGAATCTTACTTTCTGGTAAGTTTTTATAACTTTTATATTACATCAGCCTAATGTTATAACACAGTAATTTTCATTGTAGACCTTGATAAAGGTGGCAAATAACCACCGAAAGCTCGGATTTCAGAATAAATAGTACGCCTTAGCAAAGCTCTATTTTTTATTGACTACCACACCCAAAAAGAAAAAAGTATTGACATATATATATATATATATATATATATATATATATATATATATATATATATATATAAGATATGTCAATAACATTGACTGCTACATATCTTTTTAAGGTAACAATTAACATCGTTTCCATGATTGTGTGGTTCTCATATTGTAATAATTTTTTAGATGAACTGATGATGCTTTCAAAACTCGAAAGCGAAACGTCTTCAAAATAGATAAAGTAGCCTATCAACTTTGTCTTTTATTTCTCCACCTAGAGACCGATATAAGAACCCACCACTCGTCTGAGTGATCCTTATATATATATATATATATATATATATATATATATATATATATATATATATATATATATATATATATATATATATATATATTATCGTTATACTTGAAATTTGATTTGTTTTGATTATTTACTACCGGTAATACAATGTAAGATAATAAATATTTATTTCAGAATATCCAATATGTATTTAAATCTTGTTATGGTACTTACAACTTTAAATTGAACAAAGTTTTGTCACCCCCGATCCAAATCCGTTTAGCACTGTCTATTTCACTCAAAACTGCCGTGGAATCGTTCTAAACTTTCACGAAACATATTGCTACACATAAATAAATAATAGCTACTGTAACAAAAGTGCAACGTGTACTGTTTTCAACAATAATACTCAGTAGAATCTGACATAATAACACAATATAATCACGTTACGGTCCGCGGATCTACACCATCAAACCCATTGGTGCTGGGTACCATGGTACCAATTTCTCAAGACAGAAACATTAGCTATCGCTCGTCGGACGCATAGGTATCTTAGGTAATTGCTGGTTGCGCTAACGAAGCTTGAAATTGTAATTTACTAGTCGATGTTGCGAAACTCATACGATTTCGATATGGTGGCGGCATGAACGAGGCAGTGTTATTGGTCGTATATCTACGAAAAGTGAAAATGATAACGGATATAGCATTAAAATAATTGTTATCTGTATATAGATAATTAGGTAGCGTGTATTACTGCCTTGTCTGATAAAAATTGGATCATTCAAATAACCATGGACGTACGTTAAAAAAAATTTTTAGAAGTAGATATAACTTCTTTAAAAAATAAAAAATAATTATAGTAGCTGAAAGCTACTAAAACAAATGTTTTTACACATATATGAAAGTAATAAGTTTTTTTCTTTTTTTGGTAAAATGTCACCCAAAATACACATTATCAAATTTTTACGTGTATACCGTTATAGCAGGATATTTCGTATGTTCTAAAATTAATTTTGATCGTTCTTATTTACATTTAACCTCACAGATTGCCTGCTATTAATTGTTTTAAATTTAAAACCCATTTTCTTTATTCATTTTGAAAGAGAAACACTTTTCTCACAGAAGCTCATGTTCCGACCGGTTGTTTTTAATTTATTTCTTATTATGTCTGAGGGAGCCTTGTACTGGCTACCTACATCATTATTATTATTATTATTATTATAATATAAGCGAGGGCAGAGGAACTAAGTCCCTATTATGCCCAAAAACAAAGAAATTTCATTAATCACCTACTAGTAAATAACAAAAATTACGACTAAAAGAAATAAAATTACAATTTTTGGTTTAAAAGAAAAACAATATTTTAACTATAATATAAAACTGTCGAGTCTGTTTTTGAACGAGTTGGTAGAGGAAGCGGAGACAATGTTGTCGTTGAGGTTATTCCAGCACCCAAAAACTCTATATGGAAGAAAGTTCTGTCTTTGTCTTATAGAAAAATTTTCTTTCTTTAGTTTATATTGATGACCTCTGAGGCGTTCATCTTGGTTTATGATAAATATTTCCTCGAGGTTTCCAAAATTGAATTTTAGTATTTTGAATGTTGTAATTAAGTCTCCACGTTGTCGGCGAAGTTCAAACGTAGTGAGGTTAGCCATACTAAGTTCTGCATAAGACGGTCTTCTCGGTCCCAAAGAAATTCGAGTGGCTTTTCTTTGAACGTTTTCCAACAGAGTCTTGTCTCGAACCAGATCGGGATACCACGTTGGTCCAGCATATTCAAGTATGGGTCTTACGTACAAAGTGTAAAGTTTGCAAAATAATTGCATTGAAACTCCCGAAAAACACCTCCGAATAAGATACAGTCTGGAGTTTGCACGTTTACAAATAGAGGTAATATGATCGGACCAAGTTAGGCTGCTGTTCACAATAACACCAAGATCGTTATACAGAAACACAGATTCTAATGGCTGCCCGTTAACAAAGTACGGCACAAGTGAGTTATTTTTGCCAATTCGAAGCACTACACATTTTTCCGCGTTTAAGGGTAGTAACCACTGGGAACACCAAGTTAAAATAGAGTCCAAGTCCATTTGGAGGGTTAGCTGGTTTGTGTTTGGATTGGCATATATTTTTGTGTCGTCAGCGTAAAACGATATTTTACTTGAGACATAATAAGGAATATCGCTGGTGTAAACCGTAAAAAGCAGAGGTCCAAGGACAGAACACTGAGGCACTCCACTTTCCACTAACCTGTCCTGTGAGAAAGATTCGCCAACTCTAACTTTGTAATATCGATCTGTTCGATCGATCATGAGAGTTGGAAATCTTTTGATTCCAAGCCTTACTTCAAAGGACTTGTGAATGGATGCATCTCCATAGGTTTAGTTCTTCAGTGACCGTTGAAGGATAAGGATTCTTAATGTGAGCAAATATAGCTCCAGAGAAATAAAATCACTTTTGAGTTTATCGATTTATAATTAAATCTTTTAAGAGTAGAGAGGCCCAACACGGCCGTAACTTACTATACAATATCAAATGTACTCTTTCTTTATAACACGTAAAATATACACGAGAGAATAAACATGAGAAAATGCCCTAATTCGGCGGAGAGAAATATTGCGAGTTTTTAACTACCCGCTGCGGCGATGCCTCGACGGCTATATGCCAACTTGAACTGCTCTTACTGAAGTGATAAAACACTACATGCGTAAAACGGGAAGATTACCCTTATTTTATTTAGGTGTGAAAAATATTGAACAGGGTCAGACGTCAAACGCCAGGGTGTCGCGTTCAAACTTGATAAAGTGTATTCTAGTTATTCTACACTAAGAAAAGTCAAAGAATTACATTTTTATTTTATATTTTAAAAACAATATGTTTATTTCAGGAACAATGTCTATTGTAGATATTTCATTGTATTCTTGTACCAATTGTATATTCTAGTTTTCAATTGTTTTGTAATTAAAGCATCTATAGGTCTCGTTGTAGTCATCGCTTCCTACGATGATAGGGTTCATAGGGATGTTAAACCAAAGTTGCTTGTACCAACAGTTTTTCGTCGAAGCCGAATATCTTATATAGATTTTTATCTTTATATTGTACAGGTACTCTTCGTAGAACACGTACAGGCAATCCAGAAAATGTGCTTACAAAAAGAAAGGCGAATGTTATTCTGAATATGTAAAAGGCACTTGCGTGTGCAATTGGAAAGATCGTACTGAAGTATTGACCATTTCAATAGAATTCAACGGCTAAATGATTCAGACAACATCAAAAGAGGTATAGAGAAATCGAAACCAAAACTTGGTGCAGAATATAATAAGTTCATGAGAGGTGTGGACCACTGCTCTCACCAGATGCTCCAGTATTATTCTTGCGAACATAAAGTTTTGAGATAGTATAAAAAGTTACATTTGTACATTTACATTTTTTGTATAATAAATATGAAAAACCGAAAATAAAATTTATACGATTTTAAAATGGCAGTTATTGACAGCTTATTAGGGTCACCACAACCAAAGCAAGAGAGAAAGGACTGTGTCAATCATTTACAACAATACTGTCCCAAAGATAATAAGGGAAATGCTAAACGGCGACGTTGTAAGTACTGTTGGCAAACGAGAAATATCAGAAAAGATTCCACATATTTTTGCCCTCAGTGTCCAAACGAACCAGGTTTGTGCTTGACACCGTGTTTTAGACAATACACCGGTTTATGTAAGATTAAAAAAAATGTCAGACTAAACCTCTCAAAAAAACCAAAATGCGTACATAGTCAAAAATAAGGATATACAAACACACTTACCTTATATTTTTGCTGTACATTAATGTCAGATTTACCTTCTTATTAGTTATCAGAAGAAGGGAAGATTATGAGAGAGTATTAAACAAATTTTTTTAAGCCCTTTTATGTATTCGCATTGCCGAATATAGTCCTCTCTTAATTCTCGCCATTCATCTCTGTTGTTTGTAAGACGTTTCCACATTGGTCCTGCAGTTCTTTTAATATTGTCGCTCTATCGCGTTTGCGGTCTTCTTTGTGGTCTTTTGGCTTCATAGGGCCGCCAATTCTCGATTTCTTTATCTCATCGGCCATCCTTAAGACGTTCGTTATGTTCGGCCCATTTCCATTTCAGTTTAGCTGCCTGTTCGACGGCATCTTTTACTTTTGTTCTATTACGAATGTCTTCATTGGTTTTATGGTCTTTGTGTGAGATACCCAGCATCTGTCGTTCCATAGCTCTCTGGAATGACCAGGTTTGAGCTCCATATGTAAGTACTTTCATATGGAGATTAACTGTTTATAAGTGATTGCTTCCGAAAAAACAATGTCGGCTTATTCTTGTAAGACTATTTGTGCACAGGAAAAAAGAACATAAATAAGTTAAGAAATAAACAAGACGACATTGTGACTGATAAGGAAGAAATAGTGAAAACAGTGGAAGACTTCTACAGACAACTCTATGAAACAGGTGAATCCGATGAAAGACGCCCTTTACCAAAGATAGAGAATCAAGGCTCAGAATTAATGCCGAACATAACTGTTGACGAAATTAAAAATGCGCTTCGGGTGATGAAGAACAATAAATCCCCAGGTAAAGACAAGGTAATGACCGAAAGCCTAAAACTAGGAGGAAATAAGCTCTTACTGAAACTTGCTAAACTGTTCAATAAATGTCTGTGCGAAGCGATAACACCGACGCAGTGGAACAACGCGGAAATCATCTTACTTCATAAGAAGGGAGATATCAGCGACCTTAGAAACTACCGCCCCATTAGCTTGTTGTCACAAGTATATAAGCTATTTAAAAGAGTTATTACCAACAGGCTAGGAAGTAAGTTAGATTTCTATCAGCCAAGAGAGCAAGCAGGTTTTAGAGCAGGATATGGCACGAATGATCATTTACAAGTAATTAAGAACTTAATAGAAAAGAGTGTTGAATATAACAAGCCATTAGTCATGATAATTGTTGACTACGAAAAAGCTTTCGACACAATAAGTCATCAAAAGATGTTAAAAGTCTTAACAGAGTGCCGTATAGATCGTCGCTATATAAACATGATAAAATACATCTATCAAAATGGGACAGCAAGCGTGAAACTGGCAGATAAAAAGACCAACGTATTTAAAATAAAACGGGGAGTGCGACAGGGAGAGACAATTTCGCCAAAATTGTTTACAACATTATTAGAGCATATGTTTAAAAACGCAAATCTGAGTGAAAAAGGAATTAATGTCAGTGGAGAAATGCTTAGTCATTTGAGGTTTGCTGACGATATTGTCCTTTTTGCTGACAGAATCGATGATGCAGTATCGCAACTGGAGAAACTGCATGCATGTTGAAGAAACCACCTCTTATAAGTACTTAAGACATGAGATACGCATAGG